TATAGGGGACTGTTATAAGGGTTATAAAGGGGGATACTAGGAGTTTAGAATATAACTCATATGATGGCCATAGGGTCCTTATTGTGGGGTTGGGGTAACCAAAATTGTGATTGTCTGGACACATGAGATCCCTCTACCAACCCCTGTGCACACCCAGTTTCCATTTCATCGTTGACTTTCTTTCCCTTTTGATCACCACCGGGGTAATCCTGCTATCTATCTGAACTCCCCAACCTGCAGCGCAAAGACTGTACTATTCCCATGTAATGGAAAGCCAGAAGGCTCAAGTATTATGGTATGCCTGGGTAATCTACTTACCCAGGGCTTCCCAAAACGAAATCCTACATAGTCTCAATCACAATATTCCAAGTCCTAGAATCGGTGCTGAAGACCTCAGCCCCGACAACTACTAGTGCTAGGTAGGCAGTGTTACCGCCAGAAAGTTAAATGACGTATTTAAAGTACCAGTATCAGTAAGCATTACCGCTCCCCAATCCATAGACAGCATGCAGCCCGTGAATAATCTCCGCGCAAATGCTCCGTAAACTATCGAATACGTTATCCGTATACAGACCTTAAAACTCTCTAAACTCCCATGGTATACCACACAAAAGACTTGATAGGCTTGAAACACTTGCGTGGGCCCATGAGCTCATGTGGAATCCATACCTGGGAGATAGATGCAGATTTTCAACATATGTGCTGATCCCTGTTTCAACCTATACCTATAAGGATCCCCATAAACTTGTTGACGTAATCCGGAGACTACAAAAAAACAGCTTTGATACATTCATGACCATCATACAACCTCGCCTTACGCCTACACATTCTTAAGAGGGATGGCTAATGAACACTGCTGAAAGGAAGTGAGGTTGCAATCCCACTGTGACCTTGTGCTATCCCTTGGCATTCAGCACAAGCATAGCTAACGAACAAAGGCTCACGCAGCCCTTGCTTTATGCCTGCGCAGTCTTAAGTGATAGATGGTGACAATGGTTGAGAAGAACCGAGATTTCAATCACACAGACCTGGTATTATACCTTCTCATTCCTCATAGGGATAACTAATGACTAGTCTTGAAAAACTGGAAATATTATACGAGTTCCTAATGAGAAGGCTACGTGATGAAACTCCCATCAGGGATCACACCCTGACCATGGATAACAACCCGCCTCACAGAAGCCAATCCCATAAGACACTCGCTGCGTAACCTGTGAAGGAGGCCTTGTAAAGCAGCTGACAACGAGGATCTCTAGCAAGGACCCACAGGCCTTGTACTACCCACTCGTTTGATGAGAATTCCAAAGAGCAACTCAAAAGGAACCATGGCAAGGATCTTTGATAGGCTACTGGGTTTAGGGTTTAGGGTAAGAAAATGGAAGCTACTATAATATATTGGGGTTATATTGGGAATAATGGAAAAGAAAATGGAAGCTACTATAATATATTGGTCATATTGGGATAATGGAAAAGAAAATGGAAACTACTATGGTCTAGCGGGTTTATACTAGGGTTATATACTGGGTAGGCCCGTGGGATATCTAATATTTTCCCTAATGGCTTTAATAAGGGACCCTACATACTAATATTTGTCAAAGGGTTTTAAGGGCCAACCCAGTGAAGTATCTGTACTACGAATTCCAAAGGTCTCTGTCGAAAACCCACAATGAGGATGCACAACACGGACCTCAACTTAGAGGTCTCAATAACCAAGCAAAACCTGCCATCAAAACTCCTTAATTCAAGCCTTATCCCTAATCAAAGTCCTCAAAAGATACTCCTTGTGATTATCCCCAATAAAAACCCTGTAGCCCTCAATGAGGATCCCTTTTTTTAATTTTTTATGCGGGATCTTTCAAAATGCAGGAAGTCTGATAGGCTCCATTAACTACGGACATCGGATAGCTGTTAAACGATTCAACTAAGTCTCAACCCAGACGCACAGATTTAGACATATTTCCAAGTATTATCTTAATACTTGGAGCTCTACAAGGTTCCAAGATTCTAGGGACTTCCACCTTCTAAAAACATTCGGGAAATTTGGAGTAAAAATTATTGGGGAACTCTTTCTTGGAATCTTGGGTTCCAGCTTCCAAGATGTTAGAAGATTTTTGCTTAATATCGGGAATCCAAGACTTGAAGAAAGAGCCCTAGAGTCTTAGAATTTTGGCTCCCTAAATCCTTTAACCCTTAAACCCTAAACCCCAAGCCCCCAAAACCCTAAGCAACTCATACTTACGTGAGGCTTTTCAAACATTTTGCAATCCAGGAACTGAGGATCTAAATTTCAAAATGCCGTGGAACTTTAAAGGCTTAGATGCCAACCACTGCAACTTAAACAAATTGATGCCGTTTGATATTTTGCAAGGGCTGGCGTATAGAATTCTAGATGTTAATCGAAATTGTGAATCCAGTTTTTTTCCGTAAGCAGGAGTGCAAATATTATATGCTTCTAAATTTCGTTATCCCATACATCCCCAAAATATATTCAAGGTAGATTTATAAGGGGGGGTACAATTTATATGAGTATGAGCCTCCCAAGCAAGCCCTGAGGAGCCCGGCCACACCAATGACGCCGAGTGCATGGCTGCTGCAAGGGCGGCAGCTGAGCTGATGCTCCCATTTGTGTAATGCCGTCTCCTAAAGAGGGTGTTAAAGGGGTATATTATATGGTAGTTTCCTGAAATTAGGGGTACCCTTTTGGGGGTCCCTATAATAAGGACTATAGTATATTTGGGGTCTATATTGGGGTCCCCTTATTTTGGGAAACTCCCATTTCTGGGAAAGGAAGGAAAATGCAAACTGTCACGTTATTTGGGGTTTAGGGGTAAATGCAAGGCCCCCAGCTCCCAATCAAAGAAATTTTCACCTATATCATACCGTTCCGCTATAATGTGGAGAACATTGATTGTCGCGGGATTGGGCGGGTTCATTATTCCGGGAGGGGATGAAGGTGGTTTTGGCAAGTTGCATGCCTCGCCCTTGTTCTCGCTTTGGCGTTGAAGATTTCGGTTCCTCGAGTTGCAGCCGATTCAAGAGCCCAATCCAAAGTATTGAGAAGACAGATGGAGGGCGTATGGTGCTCAAGCAGTAGGAAAGGTTTGGCCGTCTCTCGCACGGACAAGATGACGTAGCCAACGAAAGCTTCTGCAAAGCACCACGCAATTATTGCCACCATCCACTCATGTTTACTTTTCCCGCGAGAAGCAGGCATGCCATATGCCCCTGATGATTTGACGTGTTGAATAAGGGGTTAAGGTTAGGGTCCTTATCCCTGATTCTGCATCAGGAAGACATACATGGGTTTGTCCGTGCGCAGCCCAAAATGCCACCAGATTCAGATTCAATGTGAGAGCATAGCGCAGAGGCCACGCGCTAGATCCGTAGCTTGGACGCTCGCCTCGACGCACAACTAGTTAGGCCCTACCTGTAAGCGGCCTCAACTACGGAACTGTGCGGGCTGATAAGCTGTTTAATGCGCGGTCGATGCGACATACGGATGACAGAGCATCATGACCTTTTGGCCTGCAAGCAAAGCACTCCCGACGGGGGCAAGTGGTTGAACACGCAGTTGAGCGGTCTGTTCCGTGTTGCCCTCGGCTGCAAGATCAGCGTAAGGGTATGTAAGCCTTCCTGCCTGGACCTGCTTCAGGGTCTGCTATGTCCAAGGACACACAACCATAGACAATTGTAAGCGTCCAAGTGATGCAAGTGTTCCTACACTCTGACTTTCCCTGGTGCGTGACGAAAATGTAGGATAGTCCCCTCCCCTAAGATTAGACCCTCCCACTCAAAATTAACTACTCCCCATTGTGGTGTACTATAATATATTGGGAGTATTTAGTATTAGGGGGGTGGCGGGGCTCAATATTGGAGAGGGGATTAGGTCTGTCAAAACGCTAAACCCTAAACCCTAAACCCTAGCTGAGGCAACGCGTCTCATCGAGCCTGAGTTGCTCCGGCAGCTGGCATCTGCATAGGTAGATTCGGTAGTTTTCCCAAAATTACAGGGACCCCAGTACAGACCTCATGTGTATTATAGCTTGGGTACTGCCCCCACCCAGTAACAGCCTATAATAGGGGTAATATTAAGGGCGATATATAACTATGTTATAAATATTATCCAACTGTTGCTGGGTGGGGGCAGGACCCAAATTATAGCCATGCTTATCAGGACCCCCACAAAAGTACCCTTAGCTTTGGGAAACCTCGTTCTGTTTCCCTGCTTGTCTTTTTTGGAGAGGAAGAGGTGCAAGTGTAAGTGCAAAGCTGTCGCATGGATTCGAGAGGGCTTTAACTTTAACAGATACATCCGCCAAAATGGAAGCGGTTTCCGGAGACATTGCAGCGCAGCCCAGGCAGTATCAAGCCTTCCAGCGAAAGTTGGGCTCCTATCTCAAGAGCAGCAACGTTGTGTTGAACTCTGAGCTGTGGGAGGTGTGCTGTCATACCCCGGCCGACGATGACTTTCTTGGTTCTGTATCCATTTTGCAGCTGCTGTTGTCGTTTGCTGGTTGCTGAACAACAAAGGTTACAAAGTCACGGAGACTGCCGACTTCCAAAGTTTCAGCTCAAGAGACGGAGGAGTCCAATCGAACCTTTTCTGAAGAACGCCTCAGAGTCTTTGTTGCAATTCTTGTTGCGCAGTAGGCTAGGCTTACACCTTGATTTACACGTGGCTGCAGTAGATGACTTGCAGTTGCGTGCGGCGAAGGTGGCAATGACAGCGGCGCGTGTGGCGGCAGCGGCAATGCCATTGGTGGTGCTGTCGCTATTGCCGTGGTGCTGCTGCAGGCACAGGTGAACATGAAGGCGGTAGCATTGGCAGCGGTGGTGGTCTTGAAGCGGCAGGTGTCATGACGCCCCACCTCCTTTAGATTACTTACTTCTTCCAACAAGATACGGAGAGAAATGCTGGCGCTGGGATTCCAGAAGTGTCAAAAAAAGCATTCTTTTGGAGGGAGATTCTCGTAAGCTGTGACGTTGCAGAATGAGGCTATTTTGTAACCTAGTCTCCGCCGTTCACCTACGCGGCGCATAGGGTTGCTGTTCCCGCAGCACTGCTGGGGTTGCCCAGGGTAAAACATGATGCCGTAGGTGAAAGTAGGTGAACATGGCCGACTGTAACTAAGACCTCCTTGGGCGGGCAGCCGGAAATGCCAACCACCGCCATGTTTGAAGTTGCTACCCGCGTGCCAACGGTCTCACCCCATAGCCACAGTTCACAACAAGAGACTATGGTTTAGAAAAAAGCTCGCCCTTCGTTGCAAAAAAGCATGGGTTTGTGCTCATGAGCTGAAAACATTACATTTACCCTTCTGACATGGTCAGGTCTTCCATGTGCCAGGGTGCCAGTGATCATGACCAATCTCGACGTGCTGCGACGGGCAGTGCTATGTCAACACGTTGGGTCAGGTTCGAAGCTTTGTTCATCATGCCCTTCACAATTTAGGATTGTTGACGCACACCGGCACTTGCGCACCTGAAGCAGGCTGCAGTGCCAACATTGCATTTTGAGCTGTCCACTTAGCATAACCAGTGATCAGGTTGTAAATATATCTGAGCCTCGCCAACTAACATAGCCAGAATAATTGCTGTGGTTATTCCAACTGACCCAAAGTCCTAGGCTAATTCACCCCTACATCCAACGCCACTAAACCCTAGACATGAACTCCAATGTCCATTCGATTCTTTACGCGATGCTCCGTTCAATATTCTAATCATTTGAGCTGCTATTATTTTAGAATCCTGAGCCCTAAGCCCTGAGCCATATTATCGGGTTATATAGGGATAATGGAAAATAAAATGGAAACTACTATGGTGGAGAATCAAATGGAAAAGAAAATGAAATGGAAACTGGGATAAACCCTGAGCCATATTATCTGGGCTCCTGCATTATTCCACCTCGCTCAAGTTTAGCGCCATGGCGTCAAGCGTAGGGCAAAGGTTCGAGGTCTGCGACACCTGTGAGGTGCACTTGAGCTGTTTTGTGCAGGAGCATGGGAATTCTCACGGCAAGGGTTCTGCTTGTTTCCTGTATGGTGTGGGGCTGTATGACCCTAAGCCCTTAACCCTAACCCCTAAACGCTTACACCCGAATCCCTGAAATCCTAGGCCCAGACCCTCAACCCTAATCCCATCCCTAAACTCTAAACCCTAGTTCCTCATCAGATTTCATGACTCCGCATCGTTGGTCTGCAGACCGTCGCCCTAAACCCTCTATACAGTGAAATGGAGGTTTCCCAAGCTTAAGGGTGCCTTTTTTCGGGTCCCCATAATATGGGCTATAGTACTTTGGGGTCTATATTGGGGTCTCCCTCCCAAATCCTGAAGGCCTTTTCACTTCCCGACCCAACACCTTCGTCACTCACTTCATGCATTGACATTCGTCGGTCCTGCGGCTTTTTTGAATTAGGTCTCCTACGAGCCATCAAAGTGTTCTGGGCTCCCCCACGTTTTCCGAGGGCCAGAAGGGCATCAGAATGGTGGACACTGCTCTTGTGTAGGCGCGGGGTTGACCTTCATGATGTACCAATTACATGTGCTCTCCTCTCCTGACAACCTCCATTGATGGTATTTTATGCAACTGCCACGCTTCGTCCAGTAGCCCTAGGAAGGAGGAAGTGTTGTACGCCTCGCTGCATGAAGGCCCCTTGGCTACCCAAAACCCCGAACCCTAAGCCCTAAACCTTAAGTAGGCCCAGGATCAAACGAAAGCTGCAAAGATCTCATAGGTTAATGAAGCCCTAAGGGTCTTCTGGGTCGTGCTCGTCATTTGACTTACTGGCGCTTAGCAGGGAAGAAGGGAATATTGTACCTATATGAGCTATAGTCTAATCTCCGAGCATCCCTCTGAATAAGCTTATCTTCCCTAATTCCCTACTAAACAACTACTGGGTTGCTGTTAAG